CAAGCAAGGGCACCATCGCCCACACCACTCGACGACGGTGCACTCAGCCTAGGGCAAGCGCGTGCACTGGCAAGGGGACCGATGGCAGCGCCGCTACTGCTGTTCTTCTTCTTTTGCTCGGCTACGTGTGCGGCAAAGAGAGAGAAGGCAGAGGAAGAAATGGTTAGGGTTTCAAGGAGCAAAGCCGCATGGGGTCAAGGGTAACGGCGCAAGGTCGTTCGACGACGGCGCCCTCAGCCTCAAGCGAGTGCGCTCATCGATGAGGGGCCTGCGGCGGCGCCACCATCTTCGACTGCCGAGTTTCTAGAGAGAGAATGGAGAGAGAGTCCGCCGCTGTGGCGGTAAGAGAGAGAAGCAGAGGAAGCAATTGAACTAGGGTTTCCACAGGAGGTGACCGCGATAAGTTTTTATTCGGGCGAGACGTGCGAATAACCGTCTGATGTAGATCGACGGCTCGCAACGCTCGGACCAAATTAGGCCCAAGCGGGTTGGAGGAATCCCAGCCCAGGCCCAGGTTGCGGCCTGGGACATGGGGGAGCGCAGTGCGAGCGGCCGTCGTGGGCCATTTTTGCGATGCTTGGCCATGGCGGAGGGCGGCAGCGCACTAGGCCACGCGCGCGTGCAAACTGGTCCGCGTACTATTTTCGCCAGACCGGGCCGAATGAATAGTAAATGCAGAGTTTTGTTTTATTATTTTCATAAGCAATTTTGATGAATTTTGTCAAGTTTTGAATCTCTGTCAAAATTAGAACCAACGGGATAATTTTTCAGAGAGTAGATGAGTAAAGTAAAATGCTTCTGAAAATTAGATAAAGATTTTTTTCTTGTTTCCGCTGCAAAGTTTAATGTTGATTATCTTCTAATTAAATTTGAACCAACGGGATAATTTAATTTAAAGAGCAGTTATAATTAGTAAATTACAATTATGTTTATCTTCTAATTAAATTGGAACCAATGGGAAATTTTAAATTAGAGGAGTAGTCCATTTTTTTAAGTAAGATTATTGTATTGTCATTTTCTGACCAACGTTGATGATGACAATATTATAATAAATTTAAGTTTGAAGTCTAAATCTCTGATAAATTTGACACCAACGTGGTCAATTTTTTAGAGAGTAGATAAGGACCAAGAAATGCTCCTGAACTAAAAGAATGTATTTCATTATCAAGTTTCCGCTACAATGATATTGATTATCTTCTAATTAAATTCGAACCAATGGGAGAATTTAATTTTGAAGAGTAGTTATATGTATTTTAAGTTGATTTATGAGTTTTATGTATTAATTCTATTTTCTGTCCAACGGTGATGTAGAATTAATGCAGAAGCACCTTGTTTATTTAACCGATGAAATCACTCGGCTGCATGCTAACGGGCTGCAATGCTGGGCTATGTGAAAGAAAAGGCTTGAGTCAAGCCAGTTCAGGACTGTTTTTTGTTAGTTTACCAATTTTCTGATTAAATTAGAACCAACAGGAAGATTTAATTGGAAAATAAAGTATAAGTGAATGTTTTATGATAAGAGTTGCAATAAGTAACATGCATGTCTAATTTGACCAATGTTGGATTAAGCATGCGTGTTTGTATATAGATTTATCCCACATAGGGAGAAGTTTTGGCATAGTACTTATGTTAGTCAATCCTGCATGGCGGGAGAAGTTTTATGATGATTCACATGTTTTGTATCCCGCATAACGAGAGAAGTTTGGGTAGCTCTTATGCTGTCCTAGTATTGACCGTGGCACAATAGAAATGTATCGTCATGGTCAATACTAACCAAAAGATTAGAAAAGATGCAAGCGTGACTTGCAAAAGTACTACGAATAAAAGACCTCGTTGAGTTTTTGAAGTGAAATAAGAAAAGTGTACTCCTAAATGGATCAAGAAATAACTTTGTTTACATGACATAATCATGTGAATGAAGTAAGTTATAAGTGTCTCCTCGTTTATAGGTTTTCTGAATAGTTCTCGAAATTATGGCAGTAAAGTTCATGCCATATTTCAAGGGGGAGAATATTAAGATCAATTAAGAAAAATACTCTTCATTAAGAGTGAGATAGAAATCAATTAAGAAAGATACTCTTAATTAAGAGTGAGATAAAGATTAATTAAGATGAATGCAACTATTGGAGGAGTACAACGGTCACAACAATGATACCCCTAAGCAGAGAAAAAGCTAAATTCCTAGACCTTTTAAAGTTCTGACAGAAAGATAGCGTTGTCAGCCTCAAAGATGTTAAAGTGGTGCTTAAAGCGCCATATGAGGTTTTAACAGATAACCCAAAATAAGATATTTGAAGAAACACTATCTTTATAAAAGAAGGGAAAATATGTGGGAGCATGGTATGTAGAGGTATGTAGAGACCTAAGACTTAAAGAGAAGAGGGACTGCGTGCCCACTCCAGTGATTCAGGAGCAACAAGTTTCTCAATACTTGTTGATGTTGTATGACTAATACAACACCTGTTGTTAGCTCTTCGAAGAAGATGAATAATATAAACAAGGATCTTGTTACACATGAGCCTATAGAATCAATTGCCTCTTGACAATGAAGATCAACAACAGCCCCATTTGAAAGTGTTAGTAGCTGAGGCCCCATAAGATCTCAAAGAATTAGTAAACCAGTTTTTTGATGACTATGAAGTCTATGTTAGTGAAGAAATTCAAATAGAGGGTGATCCCACCTCATTTGAAGAAGCCATGAGAAGCGTTTACTCATCTAAATAGCTAGAAACTATGGAAGTTGAAATGAATTCGATGAATACCAATGATGTTTGGGACTTAGAAGAAATTTCTAATGGAGCCAAAATAGTAGGATGTGAAAGGGTCTACAAGATAAAATATGACTACAAAGGGAATGTGGAAAGATACAAAGCATGACTTGTAGCAAAAGGCTTTACGTAAAGAGAATGAATAGATTATGATGAGAGTTTTCTGTCCAGTCTCATGCAAGGATTCTTTTAGAATCATAATGGTGTTCATGGCACATTACGATTTAGAGTTACATCAGATGGATGTAAAGACGACATTCCTCAACGGGGATTTGTATGAAAATGTTTACATGGCACAACCCAAAAGGTTTTGTTATGGAAGAAAAGAAAATATGAGATGCCACCTGTAGAAATCCATTTATGGGTTAAAAGTAAGTCTCTAGACAGTAGTATTTGAAGTAGATGAAACGATAAGAAAGTTTGGGTTTAAAGAAAATGAGAAGGACAATAGCGTTTATGCGAAGTTCAAGAATAGAACATTCATTTTCCACATCCTGTGAATAGATGACATTCTACTCACTAGTAGTGATGTTAATCTATCATTGGAGAAGAAGTTTTGTCCTCAAGTATCAATGTGAATGATCTTGGTGAAGCGTCATTAGTTCTAGGAATCGAAATTCACCGAGATAGAAGAAAATAGGATATTAGGACTATTACAAAGGCATACTTAGAAAAGATTCTAAAGAAATAAAGTATGCATATAAGTAAACCTACGCCTGCTCCTATAGTCAAGGGTAATAGATTTGAGAACTTTAAGTGTTCCAGGAACCGATATGAGATCGATCAAATGAACATGGTTCCATATGCTTCAGCTGTTGAAAGCTTGGTGAGTGTACAAGTACAAGTAAGAACTTACCCTGACGTAGTTTTACGTATCCAGGATATTTTGGCAGAAGTCCAGTCTAGATATAGATCACTGGAATGGAGTTGAGAATATCTTACAATTTTACAAAGTATCATAGGCCTCATGCTGAGTAAGAAAGAACAAGTACTCTCAAATAGTTGAGAGTACAAATGTTAAGTCTTGGCGAGATGTGTAGTGAAATCCACAGTAGTTGCTAACACTCGTAGTTGGAGTATTATTATGGAAAAGCTCTAAAGAAACAGTTGTGATGTCATCAGTGATGCATACCATAGTATAGCTTGACATGAGGCTTAAGGAATAGGCAAAAGGAGGTTAAGGAAATTTGTACCCAGATTTAACAATGGTAGACAACAGCAATAACCATTTAAAATAAGTTAACTCCTAAGACAACAGGTTAAGTGTGCTGCCAAACACATTGACACTAAGTTATATGTTGTAAAGAAGAAAATCCAGAATCATTTTGAAAGCATTAAGTACATAAGTACCGAGTAAGTACTTACGAATCCACTTACTAAAGGCTTACCACCCAGTGCATTCAGAGAACACACAGTCGACATGGGTTTATGGGAAAGCCTATGATTTCTGGATACTAAGGGCCTAGTTGAGTATCTGTTTAAAAACATAGATGTGCATTGTAGTTGTTAAATCTAATGGCAACTGACCGTAACGATGAGGCACGCTCTATGAACTGATCTGTGATGTAATGGGAAAAAGAAAAAGAAAGCTAAGTTTAAGTCATAAGGTGAGATTAAGGGGGAGAATGTTAGGTTGATCTTCACCAATTGGTCAATTGGGTCCTTTATCTGCGCCCTGATCGGAGGCGCTCAGTCTTTCTACTAGGCTGATGGCCCCTGTCACGCAGCGCAATAAATAGGAGGTTGGGACTGAGGCTCGCTCAACGAGGTTCACCGCAGCCGCCAGCCCCACCGTGATTCCTAGCCCTAGTCCAATCTAGAAGGGTGTGCTGTGAGCGACGGGAAGCACCATCGCCTTTGCCGCCGCCACCAGACCGGGTCTGCATTGCTGCTACTTCGTCGTCGGCGCCATGGCTGCGACTGGAGACTCGAGACTCGAGACTCGAGACTCCGAGCGTCGTTGCAGCACCATGGCCACGACATCGGTCAGGCGAGGTACATAGGTTATGTTTTATCCACTAGATCTACACCTAGATAATCCAAGAACTCTATCAACCACATTCATCAAATCTGATGTCAATGAAACAGCACAGCTTGTTAATCACATGGTATCTCTGTTTTGAAGTACGCTAGGAAGCAATACACATAAAGTAAAAATATAAAATCACCTATTAGAGTATCATATCAGTCATCAACCTCAAGTTAAATGGGCATCTATCATTGTTTTCTCCCTCATAGACCTAGCACTCTCCTCTCCTTCATATCACAGTTCCTCAAAGCAGCACTGTTCCTTTTCTTCCTGATAGCACTTCTCGTCTCCAATTCATCGTCTTCTGACTCCTCTTCGCTGGAAGCTCCAAACTTTGCAAACCTAAAATCCTTCCTTGAAGTTGATATTTGCTCGTCATCCTCATCTGAGGAGTCTGGTCTCCATTTCCTGTCAAATTGCCCAACTGCCACTAAGTACAACCTCTCTTGATTAAACAGGGAGGGAGAAATCCGACCACAGGCAAGAACTCTAGCAATCAGCAGAACCATCGATGCAACGCTGGACACCTGATGTGCCTGGAATGGAGGCATCACTGAGAGCATCTCTTGGGACAGAAGAAACAGAAAGAGCATCCTTTGTTCGCACCAGGGCTTGGACCAAACTTTATTGCCACCACCAGGGCTTGACCAAAGTCCAAACTTCTCTTATCTACCTTGAATCTAGTTAACCAATAAGAGATTGAACGACAATTCCTTTATGGTACTTCAACAAAACAGTTGCCTCAGCTCTGAGCTGGATGGCAAGCTCACTTGTAGTTGTAGGGCAAAGGATAAGGGAAAATATTTCATTGCAACAAAAAACAAAGGAAACCAGAATATTCAGAACATTCAAATACTATATTACTATTGTATAGCATGCTTACATATGGCCTGAAACCAAGTTGCAGGAAACAAGAGAAAATTAATGCATGCGTTGAAACGTTTGAAACTAGAGTATTTCATTGCCAAAAAAAAATCAGAACAGTCAGCATATATTATGGCTACTCAGCAAATCACATCTTTGCGATGAGGAATTAAGACCGGAAGTGAATAATATGAGGTGACGCCACCACCAATCCCTCTGTAATTTGCTCCCTCAGCAACTCCTGTTCCTCGATGCTCTGGGGATATCTTGATGGACCAACCTCGATCTTTGGATCCAAGTCTTCGCAGCACTCGAGGACCTTACATGACGTGCCTCATGTATCCCATGAAGTTCTCATTTGGTTGGAAACCATAAATGGTGAGCTTAGTCAGGTTGTGATGCCTGAAACCATCAGGTGCAGATGACTCCCACTCCACGTTTGTTTTGTCACAGTAACCCTCTTCTTCCCGTTCCACCTTGTCTGTCTCCATATCACACCAATGGTGCCAAACCGTGATGCATACCTGCTTTAGGTTTGGTGCAGCCTCGAAGAAGAATCTTGTCCAAGCTATATCGCATCCTTCAGGGAGTTTTTCCAGATTCAAAAATTGCAGATTCTGGAGAACCGGCGACAAAAGTTTCGGGCACTCTGGCTGAACCCAAACCTGCAATACAAGTAATAATGGAAGGATGCAGATTAAGTTGACAATGAGGAACAAATAAGCTGCTGAGAGGGCTTGCTTTAAAGTAATTACCTTTTCACTTAGGAAGCTGAGGTGCAGGTCTCTTATGTAGGGGACACTAGGAAGGAACTGACTTAATCTGATAACCTTTTGCCATCTCATGCTTACATTAGTGAGGCTTAGGCTTGAAAGCAATGGGATGTTGCCAAAAGACAAGGGTTCTTGGGGACATTGCCACATAATAAAAACCAGCCGTTTGAGGTTCGGTAGGGAGTTGAGCTCAACTAGTTCTAAGCCTGCACTGGTGATATCAAGCTCAACAAGCCGTGGGTGTTCCACCTGCAGGTGCAACACACTGTCTTCTATTTGACACATGGACAAACGGAGATACTCTAGCCGTTTGCATGTGGCGATGATGTTGGGAATGTCATTTTCAGCAAGCTTTAAGTTGCGTAGATAGAGACGTGTAAGGCCAGCAAATGCATCAGTACAGGCATAAAAAAATGTCATCAGATGCTTCCCATTGTGGCGGCGATCATCAATAGTGCAATATTGTAGCTTAATCTCTGGTACTATAATGAATTCAGCGCTTTGGATGTTGTGGGTGGCCATGGCTCGGGCAACAGCTTTACCAATGGTGAGACAGTCGTAGTATTTCAAGTAGAAGCCTATGCTGAGTTGGCGAAGGGGAATCTCTTGGCTTCTGAAAGTGAGAATGTTGTCTGTTGCATCGGCAACCGCAGCGTTCATCTGAATTGTATCCTTGAAAGCGACATGGCCACAATCAGGCACAAAGGAAGTGAACCAAACGTGTAAGTTTGAGAGCAAATGTCGGAGGTGGAGCGTCTTCTTAGAAAGGAAGCAGGTTCTGACGGCGTCGGGCGTGATGAGGCGGTCGAGGATGTTGAGCAGGAGATCATCAGGAAGCTTGGTGAACCTATCCACTACTAGTAAGTGGTTATTGTGAGCTGCTGATTTCTGCATCAATATAAATTGCGAAACAAAATTAAACAGTGCATATGCATGTGGCAGGCATATATATACAAATACAAGAAGTAAATCGAGAGGGAGATGCAAAATTGATGGGGAAAAGAATTCGCCAGGCCAAAATGAAGAAAAGGCAAGTGGCTTACATTGCGGTTGCGGCGACTACCCTTCTTATTCTTCATGGTGGTGGTGGTTAAATCCAACGAGGTACGGTGTAAGTAGCTTGGCTGATGAATTGGACTTCCTTGTTGTTTATTGCAGCAGCGCTTATTGTTTACGATGGATAGTTGAACGTAAATGTCAGTACCTCCTGTATATAAGGAGGAGAAGGCGTGGCCGGGCCGACGGGCGTCTCCAAAACGGGGGATATTTAACTATTCGTCTCCAAATTGCTATTTTTACGATGCTGAAGGGGATTTTAAATTTTAAATCTGATTCGCTTGTTTGTACGAAAACTTTGTTTGATCATGGACTAACTAGCCACCTATCCGATTGCTATTTTTTTTTTACATATTTAATGTTCCATATAAATCAAAAATACCTAGAAAGAGTCGAAAACAGTTTAGTCACATTACATCCTTATCAAAACAGTTTTTTTCCTTATCATTTTTTTTTTTGACGTGGCACGACAGATCAGCGTGCCACCATGGAAAGGTGACCGTCCCTGGCGCAGCTGGATGGGAAAAGACCATTGTGCCCCCGCTTCTTTCCAACAACACAACAACCGTGCGAGCATCTTGGCACTGTTCATCTTCCTCGGCATGTTGGTTTGCCCACCCTGGCCGCGGTCGTACGCTGGGTCGTACGCGCCACCCTGGGATGTGCGAGGGGAGGCGGCAGGCGGATGCGAGACGAGCAGGGTGGGAGGCGGTGGTCGACGCACAGCTGGCGGCGGCGCGGACGCACCTGGCGGAGGCGCTGGCGAAGCTGGAGCAGGCGTGGGCGTGGGCCCGTGACGCCGAGCTGCAACGGCCCCGCGCCGGCCGCCGACACTCCCTCCTCGTCCTCGTCCTCGTCCTCGTCCTCATATGTCCGTGCGGCTCTCGATCGACAACTCTGTCGAAGTGTCGATCATGTCATCGTGCTGCTTTGCTCATCACGTGCTAGGAATAGGAATTGGGATGAGCGCTTGATGGTCGTGATTTGCTGCTTCGGTGACCTGGACGATTCCTTTTCTGGTCGACAGCATGGAGTGCGTGGTTGCCAATCCGCAGTCGAGCAAGGACCAAGGTTCCTGGCCGCGGCCGAGGCCACTGACTTCGTGCACGCGCACGATACGACGCCGCAGTGGAGCAACAGGAAGAAGATCTCGAACGCGCACACGTACCTCGCGCGCTCGGGGCACAGCGTCTGCGGCGCCGCGGGCTTAGCCGCCGCCGCAGCCGGACGCGCGTGCCGGCGCGGGCTCCACACCGTGTCCCCGGCCCCGAAAGTAGCGTCCTTGCCGAGATGCGCTGGCGGCGTCGCCCTCCGCGGCCACTTCGCTCTGGATGTGGACGGTCGTTGACCCGGAGGCAACGGAGCACTGGAGGTTCGATGGTTCGAGGACGAGGCGTCCACCAACTTTGGACGGAGGCGATGAACGTGCTTGGTGCAGGAGATTTTTTTTTTAATTTTAACACTTTTTGATAATTAATTTTAAATCTAACACTGCAAGTTTTTTAAAAAAAACTAACACTTTTGACGGCGTCTGTTGCCCTGGCGCGGCCAAATGTCTGTGCCGCGCCATGCATGGTGGCTCGGCAGAGGTCTGCCGTGGCGACGACCGGCTTCGGTGATCGTTGACGTGGCAGCTCTTACCACGTCACCATGCATGGCGCGGCAGTGCCGCGTCCTGATCCGTGGCGCGGCAGAGCCGAATAAATATCGCGTCCAATCCCGCCTGCCCAAGCAGCAAGCCCACTTAGCCGCCGCGCCCGCCGCCCGGCCGGCGGTACCTGAACGGTTTAATCCGAACGTGTCGCGCCGATAGTGGGAGTTATTCTAAGTATTGCTTGACGTAAAATCAATAGTAGATTTGTTTCTGTCTTTTGTTGAATTTTTTTCACGGCCGAATAGAGAGGGTATGTTCACTTGGAGGAATTCTAGAGGAATTTGGATGGTTTGGAGGAATGCTGGAGGAATTTGTGAGAGAAAAATATTGTTCCGGATGAAAAAAGAAGCGGATCAAGCCGGGTTTAAGGGCATCGCAAACGGGGTCCGAATTTGATAAGCCAATGATTTGTTTTCCGTCTTTCATAATACGGTTAACCACCAATTTAACTAATCGATTATGAAAAATTACCACCGGCGTCGAGATACGCCGGGACTGTCGGTTCCCGAACTAGTTGGTACTTAATCTCGCCGGCAGTGCTGTCGCGACGTAAAGAAACGAATATGAAACAGATAAATGAAGTCCGTGCGCAAGTTGACAAGCTGCCACATAACATTTTCATTGTTTTGACATAAGTTTGACATAACATAACCAAATAACCCCGCAAGTTTTGGACGTCAATATTCGTTTGACCTAACAAACTAAGACCCAGAAATATAAGGATCCCTCGGACGCCTCTATCTATTCGGATTTGTTGGCAACACATTGGGAGTGTAGCCAACGTCGGTATGGTCGCGTCGATGGTGTGTACGGCTCGTACCCTACAAGTATATGATACGCACGATTACTTATAATTCTTTATGATCGTTAGTTCATGGAGCCTACGTATTTAAATAAACTATCTTTGATATTACCTGTGAGGCTCCTTGGGTACCAAGCGGGGCACCACCTACTTGAGACATGTCGATCTCGTCCTGTGGGCAATCGTCCCACTGGTCGTGTTGTCTGTGGAAGCATGGGGGTTGTCATCATCGTCGTCCTCGGTTGCAGGGTCCTTCCCAGCGCTATGATGTGGTGGTGTACGCACCGCAGAAGTGGCACCTGTCATCGGCTGAGAAGAGCCAGCTGGTGTCCTCAAAGAGGCTAAAGACGTGCCACCCGACCGCGTCGAGAGTGGCAGTTCCTCATAAGGAGTGTCCATGCAGCTCAGCTTCTGAGCTAGCTTTCTGCAGCTCTTCTTCACCTTCTGCATAAATAGACGTTAAAGTTAGTGCATTACCCAAACGCATATACACTAAAAAACATTTTTAGAACGGATAAGTTTATGTTACCTCCAAAAAAGCCGCGAGAACGCCTGACTCCTGACCTCTAGACTCATGAAGCCGGAACGCTGCTTCGTTGGACAGCCTTGACAATTGTGTCGTATGGGTACAGAAATGCGGATGGACAATTTTAGTATACATACTTAATACCAAAAGGATAACAAATTATACCATTCAAGTATATTACCACGTATCTTTGAAGCGGGGCTCTCTCCAGCTGTGTGTCCTCCCAAGTGGTAATGTCGTACACATCTTCGATGACATCTTCCTTCGAGTCCTCGTCAATCGCCACGTCAGTGTATGGGGGCTTGATATGTGTCCTCGTAGACCTGTGAAGCCACCGCAGGTACTCATCGAAGGTGTGCTGGTCGTGTGGAGGACCCGCATGGACCGGATGTTGTACCCTGTTCTGCCACAAATGGATGCGTGAGCTGTGTGTCATGCGCCAATCATTGGTCTTGTACCTCTTCCTGCGGTCATACCTGCAACAAAACGATGTTAGTTGTACCACACACCTCTGGATTGTAGCATTGTTATTAATCGATAACGCAACCTGTATAATTCTTGGTTGGTGGAGTAAAGCGATGGTAGGCAGCCTGTCATTCTCCCAAACTGTCTGCAGACCCGGATGGGCAAGTGAATCTCGACCACATGGAAGAAAATAAGAGGGATGTCACAGCGATACTAGTATGACTTGTCCCTAATGACAGGACTGAGATAGTCCTGGAGCTCCGGAGAATCCCAAGGACACCAATGCACCTAAAATTTCGTAATTGAGTTAGGTTGTGATATAGTGTACATCAAAGAAAACACGTGGATAATAGTAAAGAGAGCGTAACTTGGTGCTGTGTTAGGATGTCGAGACCGTCCGTGTACTCCCTGTACTTGCGCCACGCATTCCCTCTAACTAACGCTGATTTCGTCCAGATATACAGAGATGTAGGGAGTGATCCCGCTCGTTCCATCGCTGCATTGAACACAATAATGAATTAGCCATTAATAATGAATTCATATGTAACTGCCTCCAAGAATATAGTGAACCGAAGTACTTATCGGTAAACCATTATTAAGGGCCTCCCAATGGGCCATCGTTCCCAACACCACACCTAAAGTAGGTACGAGCAACCCCCAAGGTTCGCATATCCTGAGGTGCGACGACAGGCAACGCATAGCTATCGATACGTCCATGCCAGGACTGCTTGCCCCAGCTGTACGCCACTATGTTCTCCCACAGCTATCGTAGTATGTCAAGGAACATCCAGCTGATTGTGTTGCTCGAGGCGTCTAGGAAGAGGAAAGCACCAAGAAAGTGCCAGAGCCACACATGAGCGAACCTATCGATCAGAGCCTCCTCAGCCTGTGGGTCCAAGTAATCAAAGCGCTCCATGATCCAGGACGACGAAACCCTAGAACTTTTCCTGAAATTGACCAAAGAAAATGAGACCCCATGGTTGCAGGAAAGCAATGCAAGTATTAAATAGGCTTTGAATTACTCACTTATTTTTCTTGGAAGCATCGTCGTCTAGTGAAAAGAAAGATAGTAAACTGAGTCACCAGCTCCCTCCAGTGATCGTTGTCAACTATCCCTATCACTGGAAGTCCCCCCAACCGAAGGCCTAAAATAGCCTTCATGTCCTGCAACGTCAAGGTCATCTCGCCACAAGGTAGGTGGAACATGTGGGTCTCAGGCCTCCACCTGTTATAAGAATAGAACGACAGTTAGTTGCCTCAAATTTTTTAGAAGAAAGTTTACGTACAAAGAATGCACTCGCACCTGTCTACAGCTGCAGTAAGTAGTACTAGGGTCAAGGGGCGGAAGATCGTGGTTGACAACACGGACAAGCTCGAGGAAGCCGGCACACCATGTATACGGCGCATAACGCTCGTCCCACTGCCACTGGTGTGCCCTAGTGTGCGTGTGGGGCCTCAAAGGAGGCAAGGCCACCTCTGCATCGTTGTCACTCAAGATGTGTGCTCGGTGCTGGTCGTCGTACTCCACCTCAAGAATGAGGTACAACGGGTGCTACGTGGGAGAAACCATCCTGTT